TTGACGTGGCTGCATTTTTTGCTCTTTATTCTATAAATATAATGTATTATATTAATTTTCATTTGTTAAACCAACTTTGTATTCCTGATAAATATCACTTGATCATGCTATAAAATTCTTTTTACATGCTGCCATATTTGGTTTGCTACTATTTTGCTAAAGATCTGTGTTCATGAAAAATATTGATCTGTAGGTTTCTTATGATTTTCTTTTGTCTGGTTTTAGTATCCAGGTAACTCACCTCATAGAATAAATTGGGTGTTATTCCCTTTCCTCTGCTTTCTAAAAGAATTTGTAAAGAAAAAATATTTCATTTAAAAATATTTGATAGAGGGACTCCTGGGTGGCTCAGTCGGTTAAGCGTCTGCCTTTGGCTCAGGTCATGATCCCAGGGTCCAGGGACTGAGTCCCACATGGGGCTCCCTGATCAACAGGGAGTCTGCTTCTCCCTCTGCCTGTCATTCCCCCACTTGTGCTCTCTCTTGCTCTCCCTCTCTCTCTGGCAAACAAATAAATAAAATATTAAAAAAAAAAAAGAACAAGAAAAAAACAGATAAAAATTAAAAATTAAAATAAAATAAAAATAAAAGTATTTGACAGAATTCATCAGTAAAGCCCATTGAGCCTGAGTTTTTCTTTGTGGAAAGATTTTTAATTACTACTTACATTTATTTACTTGTTAGAGAAGTTTATTCAGATTTTCTATTTATTCTTCAATTTTCCTAATTTGTACCTTTCTGGGACTTTGTCCATTTCCTCTAAATTGTCTAATTTGCTGGCATAATATAAATGAAGAAAGTTATTCATAATATATAATCCTCTTAGTTTCTATAGAATCAGTAGCGATGTCCTTCATTTCATTTCTAATTTTGATAAGCTGTGTCTTCTTTCTTATTTTCTTAGTCATTCTGGCTAGAGGTTTGTCAATTTTGTTGGTGTTTTCAGGGAACCAACAATGATTTTCCTTATTATTTTTGTTTTGAATTTCATTAATTTCCACTTTAAAGTTTATCATATCCTTCCTTCTGCTTACTATGGATTTAATTTGCTCTTTCTCTAGTTTCTTAAGGTAGAAGCTCAGATTATGATTTGAGACCTTTCTTTTTTCTGATATGGGTGTTTATAGCTATAAATTTCCCCCTGAGCACTACTTTAACTGCATCCCATAAATTCTGACATATTGTGTGGTTTTGTTTTCATTTGGTTCAAAATACTTTTATTTTCCCTTGTGATGTCTTCTTTGCCCCGTGCACTATTTAGAGGTATGTTACTTAATTTCCAAATAAATGGTTTTTTTCCTAGACTTTTTTTCTGTTGTAAATTTCTAATATAATTCTGTGACCAAAGAACATAGTTTACATGATTTCAATCTTTTTAAATTTACTGAGACTTGTTTTGTGACCCAGCACAACATCTATCCTGAAGAATGTTTCATGTGTATTTGAGAAGAACGTGTTTTCTGCAGTCAGGGGGTGGAGTATCATATGTCCGTTATGACAAGTTGGTTGATAGTATTGTTCAAGTCATCTATACCTTTTATATCCTTGTTTTTCCATCTAGTTGTTCTATCAACTTTGAGAGTGTAGGATTGGCATCTCTATTATTGTTGAATAATTTATTTCTGCTTTCTATTCTGTCACTTTTTGCTTCATACATTTTGGGGTACTGTTGTTAGGTGCATATACATTTATAACTGTCATATCTTTCTAGTGTATCAATCCTTTTATCATTAACAAAAGTCTTTGTTTTTCCCTAGTAATATTTCCTGTCATAGTCTATTTTGTCTGATTTTATTTTTTTAAGATTTTATTTATTTGACAGAGAGAGAGAGAGTACAAGCAGGGGGAGTGGCAGGCAGAGGGAGAGGGAGAAGCAGGCTCCCTGCTCAGCAGGGAGCCCAAAGTGGGGCTTGATCCCAGGACCCTGGGATCATGACCTGAGCTGAAGGCAGACGCTTAACTGTCTGAGCCATCCAGGCGCCCCTGTCTGATTTTAATATAGTCACTCTAGCTAGCTTGCTAATAAGCTTCTGTTTGCATGGTGACATTTTTCCATCCTTTTACGTTCATCCTATTTATGTCTTTGTATCTAAGGTGTGTCCTTTGTAGACAGCATATAGGTGCGTCTTGCTTTTTTATCCAGTCTGACAATCTTTGCTTTTTGAGTGGGATGTTTAGTCTATTCACATGTAATATAATGATTGATATAGAGGCTTGCAATAAATCTCTTAGTCTTCATTTGGGAATGTCTTTATTTCTCCTTCACATTTGAAGGACAGTTTTGCTGTATGTAGACTTCCTGGTTGACAGATTTTTCTTTCAGTATGTTGGATATGTTATCCTATTGCCTTCTGGTTTCCATTGTTTTTGATAAGTCATCCATTGATTGTATTTTTTTTCTACACCACTTTCCTCTTCCTCTGGAACTCTCATAACACATATGTTGATATGCTTGATGTTGTCTCACAGGTCTCTAAGCCTCTGTTCATAATTCTTCAGTTATTAAAAAATCTTTGCTCTTTAGATTGAATACTCACTGTTGTTCCACCTTCCAGTTCACTTATTTTTCCTTCTGCCATTTAAATCTGTTGTTGAGTACCTCTAGGGAATTTTTCATTTCATTTCATTTCGGTCATTGTATTTTCCAATTACGGAATTTCCACTTGGGTCTCTTTTTTTTTAATCATCTCTATCTCTTTATTGAGATTCTGTATTCACTGAGTTTTTAATTCTTTAAACCTGGTTTCCTTTAGATCTCTAAGTGTATTTAAATAGCTGCTTTGCAGTCTTCTTCCACTAAGTCCTACATCGGAGGACACTCAGACATAGCTCCTATTAACTGCTTTTTTCCTGTGTATGGATCATGCTTTCTGGTTTCTTTGGATGCCCCTACCTTTTTTGTTGTTGAATATTGGACATTTTAGATAATATAGCATAGCAACTTTGGATTCTGACTTTTCCCAGAGCACTGTTGTTGGTATTGCTGTTTTGCTTGTTTAGTAATTTGCCTGGACTAAGTCTATGAAATTAGTCTCCCATATAAGGTACAGTTGCTGATGTCCTTTACTCAGGTTTTTTTTTCTACTTTTTATTTTTAAGCTTTTTCTGGCTCTCTAGAAGTCATCCCCATCTCTGCATAGCTTAGTGTTTTAGCAAAGACTAGTCAGAGGTTTTGTTCAAACACCTTCAGCCAGAAAGGCTTCTTCTCTCTGCTTCTGTGTGTGGGCTGGGGAGCACACTCAAACTTCAGGCTGAAGTTTTTCATGCCTGCCCCAGCTTTTGCTGGCTCTCTCCCATCTCCTGTGTGTGCATGCAGGCTCTGCTGGCCAGGGACATGTGGGTGTTTTGGGCACACTCCATCTCTGCCGCTCGTGCACACAGACTACGGTCAATCTGGGACAGATGGAGAGCTATCAAGCCCCTGCTTGCTGTCTCACCTCCCCGAACTACCTATTAAGTGCTCAGCTAGACCACTGGTCCATTGCTTGCCCCAAAGAGGACTGGAAACTCAAGATAGTGGAGTTATTGGCTCTTCTTACCGATTTACTGCGGACATGGCCATTTTAACTAAAAATACTCCAAATAGAGTATTCTGGAAGCAGCAGCAAGGCTGCTGGTTTTCACAGCCTGCCCTGCTCTGGTTGAGATATCACACTGACAGAGCCGAAGAGGAGGGAATGAGAGCGACCTTAGGGAAGACCGCCACAGGCTCACGTTGCTCCTACCCAGAGTTCTGCAGTTTTCATGAACAAGTGCTTGCTTTCTCAGTTTGTTGTATGCCTTTGGTCAATTTTTAGAGAGCTGAAATGGATATTTTTGACAATCTTTTTTCAGCTTTCCAGTTACTTTCTGGGAGGAGGATTTGTCAACCTCCTCATTCTGTCATGCTGGAAGTCAGTATCTCAGCCACTCTTTACATTTTACTGTAATTAGAATTAATAATGCTCTTAAAAAGCAGACCTATGGAGGTGAAAATATTACTGTGAAATGTTGATTTCGAAGAAAAATGTTTGGTTTTGTTTTCTGGGAAAAAAAATTAACCAACAAACATAGAGATGACTCAAGGTACGATCTTAAATGATTATTTCATTAGGTTAAATTAAGAAACTCATTTCTTGGGACGCCTGGGTGGCTCAGTCAGTTAAGCATCTGCCTTCAGCTCAGGTCATGATCCCAGGGTCCTGGAGTCGAGTCCCAGCAGGGAACCTGCTTCTCTCTCTCCCTCTGCCTGCCGCTCCCCCTGCTTGGTGCTCTCTCTCTCTTTCTGACAAATAAATAAATAAAATCTTAAAAAAAAAAAAAGAAGAAGAAGAAATCTCATTTCTCAGAAGCAGCACGTAGGGCCTTGCAACTCAACTGTTTCACAGGCACGAGAGAAATGAAAGGCTCCGCTAGAAAAAAGTTAGTCCCAAAGCATTTCAGTCACGATTGAGCATCCCACAGCTGCTTTTTCTGCTCCTTATTTTCCCACCTCTCTATCTTATGCCTCAACCATGATCATCAGATATGCAACGGGCATCCTTATAATAGTCTGTTGTCTGAAGGCTTCATCAAAATCCTCCTACCTGGCCATTTGTCTATTCTCCTTTCTCCACCACCCCTGACAGACTGAGACCTGTCGGGCAAGTCACTTGGGCTCTGGGCACCCTCACAGCCCCGAGGAAGGAAGAGAAGACCTGCCCCACATATCCAGGAATCCAGTGTCATGGAACTGGAGAAGACTTAAGAGATTTCTGGAGGCCAAACCTCTCCTGTTCAGATGGGGAAATTAAGGCTCCAGGCAAGTTAAGGGGATTATCCCTTCCAGGAGTGTGATAAAGATTATGTCATGCTGATAAAGTAGGCAGAGGACCTCAGAAATTGTCATCACTGAAGGATCAGGCTCAGGGCCGATGACTGGAAATGATTTCATGAAGATCAGACCTGACGTTACACATGCTCCAAAAACACTGGACATGAAGGCTCCTGAGATTGATTTTTCCCTGCTCCTTCCCTCGTTCTTACCTTAGCAAAGAAAATCCAGGCTGCACACTGCCCTGGGGCCATAAGGCTTTTCAGCTTCACTGTGCTGAGCATGAGAAAGAATCCTAACAATCCACTGGAAGGAGAAAATATTCTTTTGTTAGTGAGGCTTGTCTTCCTTTTAAGCAATAGCTATTTTCTCTTAGATTTTACCAGTCAGTTTCTAATTATTACAGAACCTGTATCCCATCTGGGTTTTCTAGTGATCTCTGGATTTAAAAACCCAGGAAGCTCTAATTTTCTAAGGAGCTATGATAAGAGAGTTCCACTGGGTAGCGGGCCATGGGGGAGGGAGTATAGGAACTTGGGAAGTCTCTGGCTAAATCATGAAAGAAAAAAGTGTGGAGGACAATACCTCCTGCTCCCTCCCATATTATTTCTGGAGCTTGGTGCTTGCCAAGGTAGAACTTCAACTTTTTTCAAGCAGAACAAACTGCCAGAAAAAGACTTCCAAAGCAAAACTCACCATATGGGGACAGAGGGTCTGGACTGACTCCTGGGTTCAAGGTAAGAATCTGAAGGGGAGGGCTGGCTCCAGTAGCAGATGTCCCCCAAACCAGGCTCAGCTACACATATGTTATGCTTTGGGAATGACGCCTAAGCCCAAGTGTGTGACCTGAGAGACCACGCCCCATGCGGAGTTCTAGAGATCTGGAGCAGCAAGGCACTGGCATAGCAGTGGACGGGGAAGTAGTGCTCTATGCTGGAACCATTTCTGAAAGCATCACTGTGTGGTCAAGGACAAAGCGAAGGGCACTCCAACAGAATGGTCACTCCTCCTTGCATTTGGAGGCTGGGCAATTGGGGAAGAGAGTGTAGCAGAGAGAATCCATGATAGAAGTTGACTTCTTGTCAAGCGGGGGCTTGAGTGTGACTTAAGAGAAATTGAAAAGCAGGACCTGCCTCTGTGGTTTGGGGTACAACTGCAGTCATATCTCCTGCTTTTCAGGAGGCATCATTTGTACTCCAGGGTCTCAAGTGCCACCCTGTCATCTCACCTTTATTACAGGCACTGCTGTGGGGCCCCAACTCAGATCATGTGCTCTGAGAGGTCAGGGCCCAATCTTGGGCTTCTCTGTGTTTTCCCCCACGGAGCCAAACATGGTGCCTTGGTCACGGTAGGTATGACATAAATGTTTGACAAGTTTACTTAGAAGCAGGTTGGATTGAGTTAAACAGCTGTAAGGCCAAATTTCACAGAAATGTGTGCCTTCGCTTCATTAGATTAGGTTAGTTCATAGCCACATTCTTGGGGCAGGACCAAGGACAGGGATGAGGGTTCCCTTGCGTATATTTCAGCCTGTTGGACCCTGATGACCTGCAAAGTTTGTTCAGATTTGCATCTGTAGTCATGGGAGGCTGGGCGGCTATGGATGAAGACAGTCAGTCATTCACACCCGAAAGGCAAGGAGGTCCAGGGGGGTAAGCAGCAGGCTAGAAATTGAGTGACCTGGGTTGTGCCCACTGACCCTCATGACCTTGACTCATCCCCCTTTGTCCCTTTTTTTCTTGCCTCAGGTTCTGTGTTGTTAAAGCAGGAATATGCATAGTGGTTCTCATCCTATCTTATGGAAATCAGAGACTTTCAGAACAGAAAGCCTCCCTAGCCCCAAATCTCACTTTATTAACAAGCAAACTGAGGAGCAGGCACAATCAGAATCCAGGTGTCCTGGTTCTTTAAAAGGTTCTCCACAGTGAAGATACCTTCTTGACCCAACAAAGACAGAGTGTGATGCTGCAGGTGCCCATGGCCACTGCGAGGTTGGGAGTGGAAAGTAAGGCGGCCGGCGCTCCAGGGCTCCTGCTGGTGGCCTCCACCCCTGCCTCCAGGGAGGTAACAACTTCGCAGGGGCCTGTGCTGCCTCCCATAGGCCCTCCCCTCTGATCCCCCCCCACCCCACCTCCAGCCAGAGGAAGGGCATAATTCCATGTCCCCTTTCCCCTCAGCACAGACTCTGCTAGAACAGAGCCACTCCCAGTCTGTGCCCAACACGCTTGGGAAAGCATCCATGACTCCTTCCCATCCCTTGACTGGTATGTCTTTGAATCATTTCCAAATTACTCATGGGTCCCTCTCTTTCTCCTTCCACATTCAGCTCTTCTACCCCTTGCCACGGAGGTAGACCTTAAAAGCAATGGGAGGATCCCAGAAGTAAAAGAGCCTGGGTTCCCCGTTAATGTGTGTCTGGGTCATGGCTACCACCATCCTCTCAGGCCTCCATGACTCCTTCTGAGTTCCTCCAGGGCCTCTGAAGGTGACAACACTTAGTCTGAGCTACGGCCGTGGAGGAATCATGAGATGACGTGGGGAAAACGGATACATTCTTAAAAGAGTTTAAGCTTCATACTGCAGCCGGGGGTTGGCGGTGGGTAGAACGTAAGAGATTCCTAGCAATTCAAGCAACGATTTCCAAATCTTTAAAGTATAAAACCCTGATTTTTCATGCTGGGTTGTAAGAAATTTGCAGATTAAAAGGGGCAGAAATGGAGCTAGACTACTGCCCCACCAAGCCAGCATCAACGGGCTACGAACTGTGTTCTCTGTTTCAAAGAACTGAACGACGACTGTACTCCCCTCCGCACTGTGCTGGTGCTGCCAAAAAACCTGACCCAAAGGGAAACAAGTCCATGGACACCAGAGGAGCAGTAACAGTCATGCCACCCGAGCCTAGCTAACGGGCAGCCCACAAGGCCTGACCAAACTGACAGGAACTGGGAAGATGAATTCTGACAGTATCCTCCCGAAAGTTAGCTGAGGATGTTAAGTGCCATTCTGAGGCTCAAATGCAAAAGCAAACTGTACAATATTGATTTTTTTTTTTGTCCTAACACACCCCTATCAGAAACAGTATGTAGCCACACACCAGCTTTTTGACTCTGTAAAGAATCACTGCCCCACAAGGTACAACCTTTTATGTGCGGGAAGAAGTGGTCTGGCTTAGCAATTGCTCATGGTCTGTGGACATTTTAGTTAATTATAATCAAGCTGAGCAGATAATAGTAATGGCCATCATTTACTAGGCCAGGCGAAACGCTTAGAGCTTACACACCTTCTTTAGCATACGCGATCACCCAGGAGTGGTATTATCTTTTCACTTTACAGATGAGAAAACTCGACTAAAGCTTGGGAGAACTAGGACAGCTTGCCCAAAGAACAAACACATTAGCAAGCAGCAAGGCCGGCATTCAACCCAAGACTGGGCTTCCCACCCTATCAGAACACACACCTCAAGACTATCTACAGAAGCCTTTCCATTTCTCAGCATGAGAAAGTCAAGCAACGTGGGAATCATAGCTAGGAAGGGGTAGAGGGTGGGTCTGAACTTCATCTATATGTACCCATCTCATTGGTCTTAGTACCTCCCAAGGCCGCGTAGTAAAGGTCACTTTGTTGTCTAGATGTCACCTAGTCACTGGTTTCCAAAACCTGTTTCTCAGGGTCTTAGGATTCAGTCAAGGTTTTTGGGAGGGCGCCCTTTAGGGACAAAGCAGGGGCCAAGGAGGAAGCTCAACGGGTGCAATTCTGGACCCAAATCTTCCCTTGAACTGAATCCAATGCATCATTTTATACAATGAAGTTCTGTTTAGGAATGGCTTGTGGAAAAACAGTGCAACGTTCTTGGCTCTTCTGCCCTGGCCAAGAAACTTCTGTAGGACACAGGTCCCCCAGGCCCCAGGCCAGCCCTGAGCACCTAAGGATGTGGATGACAACCCGCAGATGGCCAAGGGAGCAGCTTCCTGGCCCGGCCACCACTCTCTTCTGCCCTCATCTGGATAACCAACCGGCAGTGACCCTGGACTTGATGAAGACAAATTAATAGGGCCAGGGGTTTATGGGTTAAGCTTACCTGGCACAGCAGCTGCCATGGAATCTGTAGAAATACAGGAACGGAAAGTCCGGGACGCTGACGAGATCACCTGAGAGGCACAGCAACGGTGAGACAATGGGTCCCCACACGCCCCGTCCCCAGCGGCCCCGGGAAACACAGGCGAGGGTCTTCAGCACAGCCATCTGAGCACTGAGCTGCCCGGCACCGAATTCCCTCTGCCATCCCCAGGGTTTCTGTGTTAGCAGCATCGTCTTAAAATAATAGTGTGATGATCCATAATGCCCAGTTAGCGAGAGTCTGCCCTGCACAGGGCCCTACGCTAAAAGCTCTATGTACGACATCTTTCAGTCCTTGTAATAACTCTCTGGTGTTCCAGTATCCCCATTTAACTGGTGCTCAGAGAAGTTAAGGGATGTGTCTAGGATTGCACACCTCTTGAACTGGGAAGCCGGAACGTACACCCCCGAGTCACTCCAAACCCTACAATCTTTCCTCATCACCCGGCAGCCATCCCTGCCCAAGGCGGAGTGTAGGACAAAAAGAATCTTTTTTTTTTTTTTTAACATTATTCTATTCTTTTCTGCCTTATGTCCAAAAAAAGATTGTGAATGCGTGCCATCTTTTTTTCATTTGGTGTTTAATTACTGCACGAACAGCACAGGGGCCAGACCAACTGAGCTTACTCATTTGGGTTTAAGGTCCAAAGGGTACATTTATTTCTAGTGAAGTAAGTTCATTCTTTTAGTTCCACTTGGTACAAGAGGAAATAATCACACATATTGGCCGCTTCCCTCTCTGGAATTTGAACTTGGTCACAAACAAGAAGTCGGGAGATTAAAAAAGCAGAAAGCCTTCCAGAAATGTCCAGAGAAAAGGAATTAAGCATTTCCACAGCAGATAGCCTAATCCTCCCAAATCTGGAGTTTCTGAGACTCGGGAGGAGCCAGACCTTCCAGACCCCCGGGCCCCAGTCTGTCTCCCAGATCCGGATGGACCGGAGCAAGAACGGCTGATCTTCCTAAGTTAGGGACTCACAGTGTGCTAGCTGCGCGGGCAACATACAGTCGGTAATTCCTTCATCGCTGCACTTATAATCAAGAGTGTCAGAACAAGACACAACAGGCTGCTACCCTTCCTCAGAGACCGAACCGATTTCAATTAATTCAACCACCTCTTGGGAAGGAAAGGCCTGAATTCCATCTCCTTAGAGGGTTTTTTTTTTTTTTTTTATCACGACTGTTGTTTCGTTTTGTTTGTGCATATGTGCGTGCTCTTAACTACAAAGGGAGAGGGTCTCTTGGGATCTGGTTTTCGTGCAGCCCAACCAGGGGTTCAGAGCTCTCGCTTTCTTCCTGCCACGACTCCCCTGACCACTTCCACCATCTACGCAGGCCGGCGCTGGTGGAGGAGTTTTGCAAACGACAACATCAGGCTCAGCGCGGGAAGAGCACGATTTCTGCGGGGGGCCCTTTCCACACAGAAGTGACAGCGAGGTAACCAGGGGGAACCCCAGCCCCAGAGGGCGGCCAGAGCACCGCCCCCCCGGCCTGTGCAGGCGGGCGAAGTGACAGTCCATGCAGGGTTTCGCTCTCTCTGGCCACTGTGGTTCTTGGCCCCCTTCCAGTGTCCCTCTCAGTGCGAGGGCACCGGCCGTGCGGTCCGTGTGGTGAGGAGGAAGGACAGAGAGGAGACGGGCTAAGTGCAGGACCTCGAGATTCCTCGGGCGCTGCTCCTCTCTGCACCCAGGCTCTCATCAGAACGGGGTTCGCAGGGCACTGGCAGCCTTCCCAGCCCAGCGCGGGCTGCGGTGGGGGCTCTGATGAGCCGTGGGGTGGTCCGAGGCGGGCTGGGAGGCAGGAAGACAAAGGAAAAACATCACGGTCCTAGGGAGTTTACTGGTTACGTGATCACCTTCACTGAAACCCTGAAAACAGAGCCTATAAATTCCTGACAGAGAGAATGGCTCACTCTTTATCTTTGAGCCATTTCTAAGCCTACACATTTCCCACACAGTACTTAGTTGACGCCATGCCTGTCTCCCCTTGTGTAACCACCAAGTCCCTGCGTGGAGGGACTCTGCCTCCCTCATCTCATATCCAGGGCGCTGGGATCACCCCCAGCATAGGCTAAGCGCTACTAAACCAGCAGTACCTGAAAGCACCTAACTCCTCTTGCTTCCCCTGCAGAGAACGTTCCCCTTTCCAGCTGGCTCTGCTGGTCCTTCATTTCAAATGTGCCCCAGATGCTTCCCCTCTGATGCCGGCAGCCTGGCTCCTCTCTTCCCCCAGGTCTTCAATAAGGAGGGTGCGCGCCAACCTCTACCCAGCAGAGGTTAATGACGGCGCTGCCAACAGCCCCGATGATGAGGCAGCGTGTGGCTGGCTGGCCCAAACCCGTGAGAACTCAGTCCGGGAACCTGAAAAAGTGGTAAAGGTGCTCAAAAGACAGCGCTCCTGCACCAGCTATTGGCGAATGCACAATTTCAGCACAAATTACGTAGCCGAACAGTCGCGAACGTGTTTTGTGGCAGCAACACGCAGCCTTCTGCAACACAGTCCTAGTTAGGCCTTCGCTTTTCTCTTCGGTTTTTACTTAAATTCCAGTTAGTTAAGATACAGTGTCATATTCGTTTCGGGTGGACAGTGATTGGACACTTCCAGATATCACCCAGTGCTCGTCACAGCATGAGCTTTCTGCTGACTTTCCGAGTGAGGGAGTGAATCCAGTTTCTCTGAAGATCAGAGCATGAAATTGCCACGGTGAAGAGTGTGCCCCAATCTTACCATATTCAAGACTAACTGATATCTGAACATTAAGAAAACTTCCTCTCACCAGATTTTGGCCCTGGGAACCGGCAGGAAAATGGAAGGTCAGTTCCAAGAAGTAATCAGCGCTACTTGCTTTGTCTCACACATGAGCACACACCAGGTAACAAGGTCATTTCTGGGTCCAGTTCCTGTGCCAGGTCTCTCTGCTTGATGGGTCCTTGAAATTCTCCCTCTTGAACACACAACAGAGGGAGCCTGATACAAAGATGAAATGCAAACTTGCAAACAGAGGAAGAATTTCTCTTCTCTACTAGTGCTTAAAATGGTCCAAGGGGAAGCACGGTTCCAAGGTTCTTGAAGCCTCTGTGTGAATCATGAGGTTGAACGACAAGAGGGGGAGGTAGATTCCAACCACCAAGGAGCAAACGCAGTGCTCGAAGGGGGAAAAGTGGCAGGGTTTGCACTCAGGATAAAGAGAACTATCTACCTGATCCCTACCACCGTCTCCCAAAGCATTCCCAAGCCTGGGACCCAAAGGGCCATATCTGCCTCTACAGAAACACTTATCTTTCTAGTCACTCAGGAATAGTGAGAAGGGCAGCTCGGTCAAGAGCACTATCAAGAGACCATGCAGACTAGCTAAAATAAGACTGAACACCAAATGTTAGTGACAATGGGGAGGAACTGGAACTCTCAGACATTGCTGAGTAGGAATGTAAAATGGTATAAACACGTTAGAAAACTGGCACTTTCTTAAAAGTTAAATGTACATCTATTCTAAGACAAAGAAATTCTATTCCTAGGGTATTTATCCATGAGATATGAAAACCTAAGTTCACAAAAAATTCTTGTGTAAGAATGTTCGTGGTGGGGAGGCACCTGGCTGGCTCAGTTGGTAAAGTGTGTGACTCTTGATCTCGGGGTTATATGTTCGAGCCCCATGTTGGGTATATAGATTACGTAAAAATAAAATCTTTAAAAAGAAATTAAAAAAAGAATGTTCATGGAAGCTTTATTCGTAACAGCTAAAAACTGGAAACGGTGCAAGTGAACATCAGCAGGTGAACGGATAAACAAAAGGTGGTATGTTCATACACTAGCACCCTACTCAGTAATAGAAGGGAATCAATTAGTGAAACAGACAACAACCTGGATGAATCTTGGAACACTACGCGGAATGAAGAGCCAGACACAAAGGAACACTTCCTGTGTGTTTCCATTTATACGAGGCTCCAGGATAAACAGAATTTATCTATGGTAACAGACATCAGATCCGTGGTGGCTTTGGTGGTGGATGAGAAGCGAATAATGACAAAGGGGCATGAGGAAACTTTCTATAGTGACAGAAATGGTCTATATCTTCAAGGGAGTATGAGCTACACAGGTGTATACCTTTGTCAAAATTGATCAGGCCGTACACATAAGACAGGTGCATTTCATATACATAAATTATACCTCAATATTTTTTTCTGAGAGAGAGTGTGCACATGCAAGCGGGGGGGCAGGGAGAAGGGGCAGAGCAAGAGGTAGAAAGAGAATCTTAAGCTGACTCCATGCTCAGCGTGGAGCCTGACATGGAGCTCGATCTCACGACCCTGAGATCATGACCTGAGGTGAAATCAAGAGTTGGACACTTGGGGCACCTGGGTGGCTCAGTTAAGCGTCTGCCTTAGGCTCAGGTCATGATCCCAGGGTCCTGAGATCAAGTCCCTGCTCAGCAGGGGCCTGCTTCTCCATCTGCCTACCGTTCCCCCTGCTGTGCTCTCTCCCTCTCTCTCTCTCTCACAAATAAATAAAATCTTAAAAAAAAAAAAAAAGAGTTGGACACTTAACCAACTGAGCCACCCAGGCACCCCTATACCTCAATTTTTTAATGTTTTAAAAGTACAGGGCTATTGAAAGGGGTCCTCTAAGCAAAGAGAGATCCTAAAAGTAACATCGACCAGAAAGGAACACAGACAATATACAGTTAACAGTCACCTTACAGGCAATACAATGGCACTAAATTC